TCACGCCTTCTCTTGTGGCCTGATTGGCCACATTGGGATAACGTCACGCGACGAGTTTGCCCTCGGGGAACTACGACCACTTGGGCACACGCTTTGACGTGCGTAAGTTTGTCCGGTTTAATGTCATTGTATGGACAGTCAACGCGCGGGCATGACCACCGCAAAGGCATATAACTACGAAGGCGGTCAGAGTGAACACATAAAGACATTTTGCTAAGCTCGACGCCTCAGGAAAGCCTCAAATGTTGCTAGCATTTGTTCAGGCTAATACCTTAACAATATAGACTGTCATTAGGAGGTGTACATGTCAGGCTTTCGGTTTAACTTTCATAGCTTTTATTTTCATCCATCTCCACATAGGAGGACGATTTTACCAGCCCAACTTCCACCACTGTGTCCGCTGCCTATCTGGAATCCATCGCTGTATCTGCCTGTCCGCGACACCTGCGTGAAGTGGTTAAGTCCCTCTTCACTGATTTGCCTCTGCGAGGTGGCCAAGTGCGCCGAGCCCGCCAACTGGCTGCTGAGGCAGCAGCCTCCAAGTCGCCTGACATTTGGAGTTTGTCTGTGGGACAGAAACGAAAGCGGTCAGAACATATTGGTAGGTTCCTTGTTATGGCAAGCATTTTGGGTTTTCAATTTTTTTCCCACAAGTTGGATCCTCTTCTTGTAATTTTAAAGAATCCCTCACAATGCTGTCTCCCCCAGCTCTTTTCACTTAAGTTTGAAACTTAATTTTGTTTGCTTTACAATTAAAACGGCAGTATCAGACGAGTTAACGTGTGTACGGACTGTCACGACCGAAATTCACGAAAACTTCACAAAGAATTCCGCTGGTTATTTACACTACGCCTTGTATCTGTATGCATATGTTCGACCATCGATTTCGATGAAGTCCACCAAGTGCGCCAAGAGGTTGGTACAGAAGGTGACAGCTTCAAGAGTTAGCTCTAAAGTGAAAGAGGACGTAATTAACGGCTCCGCACTCTTCACCTTTTCCCGGAGTCTCCAGCGTAGGCTGCTTTCTCCAATGCAAGCCAAAACACCGCCTAACTTAGTCTTAAGTGACAGTAGACTTTGCGCGGGTACTACTGTATTATCTACCCTCACTCACCCATATTAGGTGTGAAGATAGGCTCAAGGAGGCCAAGACTCATACGGCTACTACTGTTTCAACTACTAATAACTATCAATGTGGCCGAGTCTTAGTAGTATCAGTACTATCTCTGACGCTAAAATTTGCCAGGAGTTATGCTGGTTTGAAGTTAGCGCTGGGACTCATACCCCCTTGGTCTCAACAAGGAGTGTAAATCTGGGTTTACACTATTTCGAGTAAGTATATGCTTGGGGCCCTGAGCTCAAGAGCGGTTGCCTTGGTTTCCGCACTCTTAGCTGTATCCATCGAGCTGTACGGACTAAGATACTGCTGCTATAGGTACGTGCCTATACTAAAAGTCCTAATTTCTATTACTAATGCTTGCTAAGGCCAGTAGACGGTATACTATAAGTACCGCTTTGCATCTATCTTTCC